AAAAAAAAAAAAAAGTAAAGTTCAAAAGTCCTGTTACATACTGAGATTTTAAAGAACTATTTAGGGGCTGAGAATGTTGCTTTGTGGTAGACTGCCTAGCATGCATGAAGCCCTGGGTTCGATTCCCTAGTACCACATAAACAGAAAAGGCCAGACGTGGCACTGTGGTTCAAATGGTAGAGCGTTAGCCTTGAGCACAGAGAGGCTCAGGGACACAGCCCAAGCCCTGAGTTCAAGCCCCAGGACTAGGAAAAAAAATAATGTATTAAATATTTTAAAATCTTTTAGGTTCCTCAAAAATTTTAAAGCAGGGGCTGGGAAGTTGGCTCAGTGGTAGAGTGCTTGCCTTGCATGCCTGAGGCCCTGGATTTGATTCCTCAGCACCACATAAGAAAAAAGCCGGAAGTGGCGCTGTGGCTCAAGTGGTAGAGCGCTAGCCTTGAGCTGAAGAGCTGAGGGACAGTACCCAGGCCCAGAGTTCAGGCCCCACAACTGGACCCCCCAAAAAAAAATTTTTAAAGCAGTCTCTAATATTACTGATAAAATTGAATGTCTTGTAAGCAGTTTCTCTCTTTGAACTACCAAAGACACAGTAACAACTTACTGATTCTCCTTAAAAACCACCTTTGAAAAACACAGCACCATTATGTATACCTATCTTTTATGATACCTACCTTTTGGGATTCTTGCTATGTGATCGGGACCTAAAAAAAGAATACCTACTTTTAGAAATAAAATTCACAGTACAACGTGCTGTTAAATTAATTATACTTTTTATACATAATATATAAATTATGTACTATGTCCTCAATTTTTTTTCCAGAATGTAGATGAACTCTAATGTGGGCTCCTTCAGCCATATACCTGGCTCTTAGGAATATGCATTTGGTAGACTAAAGTGTTTTATATATCGTAACTCCTTAATTCTCCAAAATGCACTTCCTATCTAGAAAAAGTTATCTACAGCTTTCTCATCTTATTTTTCCTTTCTGGGGACAAGACTACATCTGTTCTGGAACCTCATACTATTATCATTAAAACACTCAACTCAATCTTGTAAGATCTTTGTATGGAATAAGGTATTCTTTCTTTTTGGAAGGGGTGTTGGTACGGGGGCTTGACCTCTCTGATTTCCCTTGGCTTTTTGCATGTGGCTGGCACTCTACCAATTGTACTATATCCTTAATGTAGCTTTTGTTTTTTCTTTTTTTTTTCTTTACTGGAGATTAAGAGTCTTGTGGACTTTTCTGCGTATGCTAGCTTCAAACTAAGATCTTCCAATCTCAACTAGGATTACAAGTTTTTGCCACTAGTGTTCAGCTACCACAATCTTTCTTTTCTTTTTTAAGGTACTGAAGTTAGAACTTGGGACAGATTTCTGGCTTGATAAGCTGGTGAGAAATAAAACTAAGCCACATACACATCTAGCTCTTAAAATGAAATATTCTTATATAATGTATTCTTCACATTCCTAGCATACAGTTAGTGCACAGTAAATGGCAAGTTAATATTACTGTTAGTACAACTATAGGGTTTTGTGTTTGCGTGAATAATACGTAATACGGATGAAAGCATGCTTTTTGTAGATTCAGCCATGTGTGTGTTAACTCTGGCACTACCACTTGCACAACAGGTAAATTATATATTGTCCCTCAGCTTAGTTGTCTTTGACAAGAGAAGTTGTGACATAAATTTCCCGAGGGAGAGGAGTGGTTTAGATACAAAATGCTTTCCCCCTCAAAGGTTCATGTAATAAAGGCTTTACCCCATTGGTAGACCTAATAATTGAGGGATAATTAGATCATGAGGGCACTGGCCTAATCAATATATTGATCTACTGATGGGTGGCATTATTTAGAGACATCCAAACTAAGAGGTGAGTCCTAGTTAGAGGAAATAGGTCCCTGCAGGCATTTCTTTAACAGAGTGTAGCTTGTCCTGGCCCCTTCCTATAGCTTTCTTTCTGCTTCTTGGCTGCGGTGAGCAGCTTTCCCTCTTCGCTATCTGTTAGACACACCTGTAAGCAATGATGTTCAGATTTCCTACAGGGCCATAAAAATGAAGGCAACCCATCATGCACTAAAACTTCTAAAAAAAAAAAAAAATGAGTCAAATAAACCTTTCTTCTGTTTCAGCTATTTTGTCACAGAAAAAAAAAAAAAAAGCCCGAATAACAAAGTATATGTGTTCATCTAGGTAAATTTCTTAAGACACAGCCTGATATATAATGAGTATGCAGTATTTTTTAAAATTTTATAATAGCTTATGATTTGTATCTTTCATTCAGTCATAATACTTCAAAAATTCAGGTATCTAAAAGAAAAAAATTTTTAAACATTTCTGAAAAATAACATTTTAAAGCCATTTTATAACAAAACTTGCCAAGCTGCAAATGAAAGGAATAAAATGTGACATACTTTAGAATACAATGTGATATACTTTCTCATCATCTATAAAAATGAAGGTGTCAGGGAGGGAGGAGTGTAGTTGTGAAGATGGGAGGGAAGGGATGGTAGGGGGAAAACAAAGGAGGCAACAATGCTTGATAAGAAATGTACCCATTACCTTGCTTACTGTAATTGTAACCCCTCCGTACAGTATTCTCACAATAAAAAACTTATTTTTAAAAAAATGAAGGTGTAGTCCTGCAATAAAAAATATTTGTGCTCATATGACTGTCACCTCAGTCAAATCTTAAATTGAGAAACCTAATATTGTGTAAAATACTATTTATATTGTCATATTACAACACATATAAGCTTTGTCCCATTTTGACCTCACACTGCTGTAATTTCCAGTCTAATATGCTCAAAGCTAGAGGAAATTAGGATGACCTATTCACATACTATAAAGGATTTTAGTTAATTTAGGCATAACTGAGAAAAGTTACTTAAATTTCAGAGCTATGATGTAATACAGTTAAGGAAACACTATAAATTAGAACAAGCAATGTTTGTCTATTGTAAAAAGCTGTTAAAGTAGTTAAGAGCATGACTTACAAACAATGTTGTTACATTGATGATATGCA